TATATATATATATATATATATATATATAGTAGTATATATATATATATATATATATATATATATATATATATATATATATAATGTGATAGAAATTATTATTAATTAGAAATATATAGGACACAGGTGAAATTACATTAGAAATTGATGGTCATAGAAAATAATCGAAAAATGAAAACAAAAGAGAAATTGCATACAACTGACTCATCACCACGCCACAATAATAAGCCATCACGAAAATGAAAACAGAAAAATATACATATATATATTATACGTCATCGACTAAATCTCCACTCTTAATGAATTACCCATTTAACTTACAACGATTTTACTTGATTGTAATATCTCTGCTACTGTTCTATCCGGTATGTAGAAAAGAAAAAAACTCAGTAATACCTCAAACTGTATTATATCGTGATATCTATGGTTTGTAAAAGTAATAATCGTCAAATTACTGAATTTGATACAAAAAAAACAAACCTTTTTAACAAAAACATTTAACACCGAATAAATACCAGTAGATAACAAAGCACTTAGTAAACCGCCTAAATCAAATGATAATTCGGTAAATGTTGCAATAGCTACACCAATTATGATCGGTATTAATGATAGATAAACACGCTTGGTTTGGCGCTCTTTCAGAACAATTCGAGCACAAAAGACAGCAAATAATGGCATTGTTGCTTTTACTGTAAACATATGATGATGTATGAAGTAAGAATTTTGCTTAAAATTAAATAAAAACATGAATTGTGAAGGTAATTGTTACAATCATGTCAAATAAATTCGATTAGATGTAATATTTTGCTGATAAGAAAATTGTCGTATTTGGGAAATAAAATTGACCTTAATTGTTATCAAAGTTCTCAATAAAAACATAACCCTTATTTAATAATTAATATAGGTTATAAAGCTAATTTACTTCTGAAAATGCTACTTATCTACGAAACACAATTAATTTACCTGTTTGAACGTATGAAACTGATACTCTCCAAACGCTCACATATGCACTAACAACAGCAATCACTTTACCAAATGATATTGGAATGATATAATATATAAGATAATAATTCGATATAGAAGGTTGTTTGATACGCCATAATCGAAGCACAGGAACGGAACAAAGTTCAACATAACAAAGTGACACCAAAGCAACCGTCACAGGATATGGATAATTCTGAAAATGAATAGTTTACAAATAAGTAAATAATACTAATAAAATTATTAGAAAAAAATAATGTTATTTTAGCATTAATTGAAATGAAAATGCAATATGTCGAGAATTTATAATTCTAGCATTTAGATATTTGTGAAAATTTTTTCTTAAGATTTCTGGTATAAAATAATACAAAACTGAATTAAAGTATTCAAAAAAAAAAATTGAATATATTAAATCCCATAAATTTGTTTAAATGATTGTTGCAAAATTGTTGCAACATATTTTTTAGGATATAGAAAATGGGTAACCTGTAATGTAATTTTGTTGACAATACTTGATGCTGAACTAACAAAATACCAAGCAATAAAGATCACAGCAACTTGCAGTGTAAAATTATTTAATGTGGAAATTTTGTCCATATTGTTTGTTTCGCTGACATTAAGCTTTCGAGAATCGTATCTAAACCAAAGCTTATGGGACTGTCACCAATAAAATTTGTTTAATTTGCTAACTCAATTTATCATAACGAATAATTATGAATAGGCATAAATGAAATAATTAAATATAATTTAAATAAGTAAAGCAAAGGAATGAATAAGTGAAGGTAAAAGAAAATCATAGAGAAAAATTGAAAGGAATAGATGACAAATTGCTATGATATTTCTCATTAATCAATACGTTACGGGATCTCAATTTCCAATAGGTTATCATTTTTTTAAATATTACAAAGAAAAAAGAAAGTGTTAGGGTTTGTTTCCCTTTTTTTGCTATAGGATAACTGTTTCGATATTCTTGGATTAATGAATTTAGAAATCAAATAATTCTATAGTGAGGCATTCGTATTATATGATATCGATATACTTCAATTTTTTTCTTTTTTTTTCCAGCAGTATCATAGCAAATTTGGCATGACAATAACATAAACTATTTCCGGAAAATATTGAAAAAAAAAAGACAATTTACCGAGAAAGTATTGAATAGGAAGATTTCTCATATGACAGGGAATATCAAGTTTTTTTTTTTTTCTTTTTTTTGCAGACACAGCCGCACATAAAAGTGAACAGATTGGTACAAACAAGTTTTGGGGGAACCGATTCATTAGAAGAAATGAGGAAACCGGTTAAAAAAATAGGATGGAATATCAAAATTAACATACATTATAAGCATGTAAACTTGTTTGACATATTACAGATTCATATAACAATAAATTACTGATTTAAATATAGAAATAAATGGCAAAAATTTGAAAAAACAATTTGAATATTGAATGAAAGTGATAAACAAATGGCTAACTGCTGTCAATATCTAATCAGATTTAAACTGATTTATTCAAATTTGGATACCTCATTTACATCATACAATTCCAAATTTGAAATGAAAAGAAAAAAAAGAAATAATCGAATTACATAGATTATTTTTAAAAAAAATATCGTAAAAAACAGACATGAAGTACCAAAAAAAATATGGATACTCATATTAATTAAATTGTAATTCTTAATTAAATCTTAATGGTATTAAATTTTCATCATACATATGTAATTTATATGCAAATTCTTACTAGAACATAATTTTTATTGTTTATTTAGAACTAAAATTATTAATCAAATAAGAGCAATTTTGGCTTTTCTCTAATACTCCATAGAAGGATTAATCATATCCTTTCTACTTTTTTTTTTCTTACAACTGTTCAAATTCTTTTTAAAATAGTAAAAAGTAAATAGTTATGCTTCGTTATCGTATTTACAGAGCATAGAAAAAGGGACGGCAACAATTGATATCACTGGCTAAAGATTGTTATAAAATTTTTTAAAATTACTCGCACTTTATCATAGATACAATTTGATAATGTCATTCAGCTTATATTTATATTGTATAATTTCATTAATTCATTGCTATCATTGCTTCGTTCTTATCATTTATGTTAAATGATCAAAATAAACAACAAAGCAGAATACTGATCTTTGCAACTATAGTTACACACTCGTGATGTCTTCAATGTCAAAGTTTTGCTGGTGTTAAGATATCATTAATATTGATGTAACAGGGCTGAAAAGAAAAAAAACCATAAATGAATCTTAAAATGCTTTAATTGTGAAAAACACAATGCTGAAATGTTGAATACTAAAGTAATAGCAATGCCGGAATGCTTCATAACTTGAAATTATAAAGCTGGAATATCTTCAGTATGGATATGATATTGCGGTATATGCAAAATGTAAAAGGTGTAATGGTAGCGGAATTTCCGAAATAGTAAAATTATAGTGCCGAAACGTCCTATAAAAAGCATGAGTGACAGAATCCTGAATATTTGAGTTACATTAGAAGAAAATGCATCCTTTTATTGTTTAGGTCAAAGGAAATGCATTCCATAAAAACTGGGTTTGAACTTTTAAAAGCAAACTTAACATTTCATTTGAATAATTCGACAAATTTTTTATAAGTACGAGGACTAATGAAATGGCACGTTTTGATATTATACATTTTTTTTTTTTTTTGTACAAAAAATCACACATAAATTAGCTATGAAAAGGGTATAATGTCTAGCGTTTGAATTATTAAAAAATTTAAACTTTAACTAAACCGTGAAACTAAAATGAATTATTTCTCCTTATTAGTGCTTTATTGAATTTACAGTATATGTGAAGCGATCAAGTTTGACAAGTTTGTTGTATTATATTTCTGTAGTTATGTTTTGTATGCAATGGATCTTTGTACTTATTAGTAAACTGAGACGGAATTTTACTATAATCAACCAGGAAAATGAACATTCCTAATTCTTCTACCGAATGAACCATTAATTATTAGCATTCCCCATGGGAACTTATTTAAAAGCAATAATACGGTTATTCCTTATTTCTCATCATGTTTGTCGCAATAGTACCTATGAAACAATTGGACATCGTCATTATAAAACATAAATATGTCGTCACATTGCCTCTGATAATAACCGGCGTTTGACATATTTAATGCTCGGAAATTAATTTTTATTAATTCTAAGAATTTAAAATAGCCAATGAAAACATGAAAACTATTTCTTTAGTGATAATGCGAATATATAACATAAAAACATTCCGACATTTACTCGAAGTATACTACTATGACGACCAATATGGCCTTAAAAAGAAGACCTTAAAGTGTTTCGCTTGAAAAGAACAGAAATTTCCAAGAAACAAATGGAAAGTTTAATTGTCTAATATTCCGTTGAATATTTTTGAATGTAGGATGAGGAAAGAACTGAATTTTAGATCAAAGATATAAGGATTAAGAAAGCTAATAAGTATAAAAAGCGATATGGTAACTAGATAAGACTTATATAATTGGCAATGAATGAAGACTTAACACTTGAATATGAAATATTCAAGCTTCGTTTCGAATTTCGAACACTAATCTTATATTCCGATTCAGCATTTAAATAAATATTAGTGGAGTATAATCAGAATTACGGACATTTTATGGAAACTCGAGTTTCTTTTTTACCTAACAGAAGTATAGTATTTAAATATCGAAATGCCTGGAAACATCACGGCACAAAATCTTTTTGATTAGAAGACGAAGAATACAGACTCTATTGAGACACCTGGCCAAAACTACTATTGGTTTGTAATAGACATATAATTCTTAAAGATAAATTGTAACAAAATAAATGTTGAATTAAATTCCAGACAACCAAAAGTTTTAGGAAATAAAGGCTGGCTGATTGAAACTGGAAATCAATAAAAATGAATTTAATAAGAACCTATTATCAATCTACGGTTAGCTTTTCTGCCTCAGAATCTGTATTGTACCTTATTCATAGTTACTAAATGATTCACCGCTTTGAACTTGAATGGATTTTTCAACTCGGAAAAAAACATGTGAAAATCTCCCATTCATTTCAAAAACTTTAAATTAACATCAGATTAATATCAATTCAAAAAAAATCTACCAAAACGAGATGATAGGCCTTAAGACTGAAAAATTTGGATCCGAAAAATCCCTTTTTGAGCTAACATGAACTTGAAAATTCTCGAATTGGGAACCAGAGTCTGAATTAGAAATATAATGAGAAAAAAAAGAAGATTGGGAAGATACTCGACTTATAATGGAGAATCATCCAAGACCTAAAAGGAATCTCTGCAAAAATTGATATCCAATAACTGAAAGCCCTAAAATAACCTTGCTTCCGATATTTCAACTATAATAATACTGTTGGTATTTCCAAGTGACTAGTCATTCATCAGCAATTTTCGTTATCGCTGACGCATATTTTGCAATTTCCGCACTTCCGTGTGTTGCCCGCCAAGTTCGCGTAGCAAATTCATACCTGTAAACAAATGGTACTTTGGAAACATTATCCAATCATAAACATCCGAAATCAGTGCTAATTTGTAACCGTAATCCAAAATCAACATTATATTTCTTGATTTGAAAGATCTACTAAATTCCTCATCTTTTCTAACAAACTTCCTCTAAAGAAGAAATCGATAACAAACCCCTTCTAAAGAAGAAATTGACAGCAACAAAGAAATTATTACCACTGGATTTCTGTAAAAGGCTGATTCCCAAGAATGAATGATTCTTTCGGTAATGACAGCAACCGAATCCGTAACGGACGTACAACTTCTTTATAATCAACAACTGCTCGTAAGGGAGTGTGATCCACGGCCATATACGGTAAAACTTAAACAAATAATTTTCATTAAAACAACACAAAATTTTAAAATCAAAAAATGAATTTGCTAAGAAAGAAAACAAATTCTTTGCAATTTATATTGTTAATAAAATTGTGTCCACGAAAACTTTAGTCCTAAGCTTTTTCAGTAACAATAAAAATTAAAGTTGCAAATGAAATCATATGATTGTCCATTTGAAATCGAAATCAAGAATTAAATTAGAAGTCACAAATACTATATTTCAAGTTCCAAAAGAAACATCGAAAAAGCAATTTTTTATCCTTCAACTTTCTTCTGGCAACTTTTCAAAATACATATGAAATGAGAGAAAAACTCACCAGCTGCGGATGCTTCCACTTTTGGTCGTGGTTTCATTTCTGAGAGCAATACGTAATTTACATTCGATGCAATTTCACTATACGGTTTACACCCTAAACCGCCTAATGATATGCCAGCTTTGATATTCAGTTGCGAATCACTGAATAAACATTCCAGAATTTTGGCTCGATTCTTTACATTTCTTGGTTGAAAATCTTCTGACCTGGCTCTTTGATGGGCCAAGACTGGAAAATGTCAACGTTTATCAATTATTTTGCCTTATCAATCATTTCCAAGATTAAAATTTTTCCAATCAGGAGGCATAGTGACAATCTTGCGACAACATGACTTTTATAAAAAGACATGATTTTCAACCACGCGATTCGTGAGAACCTGACGCAATTACTTTATCATCATAAAATGTCTTCGCTAAAATAGTCGATTTTGGCAATAAGCTTATAACAACTTCATTAGTTTATAATTGGCCCAGTAAATCCAAACTGACCAATAAATGAGCACAAAGATTACAAAAAAAATTACCGAAATTAATTCTACGATTTGGTTTGTATTTCACTGTCTCAGGTGAGTAATGAGTCGGTGTTACGCGAAGCATTTCAGCTGTCCGTACATGTCTAATCACATCGATATCAACGAACCAATCCACAGAAAGTATTACAGTATGACATACTTGTAAGAGAAATGCTGTTAAATGCAAGCTCTGGAAAATTTTTCAATTGAAGATTTAGAATTTGAAAATCAAGTAAAAATAAATTTGACGGAATAATTTAATCCCTAATTACTACAATAAAGCTGAACAAGAAAATTTGCAAACGTCGTATTCAGAATACTTGGTAATACTTCAATTTCTCCCGAAAGAGCTGCAAATCCTCGACAAAGATCCACTGCTTTTGAACCTCCCGAACGACCTCCATCTAACGATGATGACGCTAACAGATGAATAAGAATCGAAGGAGAACTGATTGCCTACAACAGTCACACTTTTTGCTAGTTATTCGAGGCAGTTTTTTATTCGCAGTACTCTCAACATCTTTTATTGGAAATACACATATACAACAGTGGTCCTGATCTTATATTAATTGATTTACAAAAGTTATGTATGAAGAAATGATATAAAGAAATATAAAGAAATGATATAAAGAAATATAATAATGATATAAAGAAATAGTTATGTATAAAGAAATATTGCACCCCGATCGGAAGAAACCTCTATGAACACGGAAAAATTTACCTGACAATCCAATAAAATCATCCTTGATTTGGTTACATAAACGCTTATCTTTTGGGATTGATAACGACAACATTCAACTGCTTCGCGAGATGCCGGACGAAAAGCATAATGTCTAAAACAGTAAAGTATGTGACCGTATTAAGCTACTGTATAACAGAAGTATAAAATGGTACGTCTTAATTCATTATGTACATTTTTAACACGGATTTACAACGCAGAAAATTTTTTTTTTATAGATTTTTCTTTACAAATTTTTTTTTACAATTTTTTTTTCTTTTACAAATTTGCAACGCAGGATTTCTGTTTTAAAAGCTCGTAACAGGTATAGTGATCACAAGATACAGTCATCAGTCGAGAATAAAAGAACAAGCAGTTATTCTGGGTGACAAAAAGAAAATTAGCAAAGGAAATCGGAGAAATTTTTTTTAATATCAATATTCTTCACATATTCAATATCTCTCCTGGAGATAGAGAATGACTAAATGTCAGCTATACAGAATGATTTATAGCGTTTAACAACTATTTGCACCCGCTAATTAGTTCAAGATGATTTTATATTTAACTGATGAAGCTTTAAAAGTCCAAGCAACAGTCTCAGAACGATGAAAATACTACGCACCTATACATATCCATATGATCATTACCGGCTATCATGCTAAGAAGTGTTGATTTGCCCGAACCTTGTGGACCGATAATACCGATAACAGTAAAATTTGTATTTGTAGTGGATAAATAATCCTGCAAGGATTAAATATGCAGTTTTGAAAATATGCGAGGATTCCAAGAATTTTATTTTGTGCAGAAAAAAAAACCAGAAACAATGTCTTTTTCATTCCTGGATTTGTAGGAACAACGATTAAGCTACTTTATATTCCTCTTTTCCCGCTCAGCAAAACAGTGATAATAATAGTAATAATGACAACAATCAACAAACCGCGACAACATCTGTAAAATCCATTGTGTCAGAAAGTAAACGCACAGCCGCCTTCATAAACCCGAGGGATTGTTCCATGACAGTTGTTGTTGTTGTTGCATTACGAGAAATTTCTAAAAACCATTTACCAGTTTTTTGAAATTAAAAAATTGAAATTTGATAACGACGGAAACATTTCATGAAGATCATGATACTAGTTTAAAAAAGCTAACGTGTCTTATCTGTCCGGAATAAAGAGCTTCTAACTGTATTTGATGATCCTCTTACTAGCCGTGACGTAGTATTTGGACGAGTTATTCCGGATGGCGTTACTTCCTGCAATAGCAAATTTAAAAGAATTAATAAAAAATACTTCTGTATTACCCATCTTCGTTTACAATAACAATTATTGCGGCAATAAATAGATGTAAATGTAGCCACAACTACTATTATACTTGAGGTGAAGAAGCAGCCTGAGACATCATCTTCTGACTATCTTCTACATTGTCAGATGTGGTCGGTTCTTCTGCAATTGTAAAAGAATTTAATCAACAAAAAATTTTTAATACAAAATAATAAGCTTCAAATCAAGAACAACTCGAATTCTAAGTTTGAGAAGCTCCCAATTTATGCCGTTTTCTTCTAGAAACAAAATGGAAAAAAAAAGTTTCTATTAACAATGATGACTCCTACAGGATGTGTTTTACGATATCTGAGCAACCGCTCCTAAGAACACTATTCGATGCAAAAAATAGAAAATGAAAAAAAAATTCGAAAAAAAAACCTTTACGTTTCGATAAAATAGCAGTTGGACGAGGCATAATCGTTACCGTCGCATTTCTTGATTTATTTTCTCGAGTATCTGCGCTGCCGCTGTATTGATGGATCCGACGTCCTCGTCTCATTTCATTTTCGTCCTGAAAAACTGAGTGAAATCAAACAAATCGAATAAAACTGCAATAGAGGAATAAGTTCAATTTAGCATTTATGCATAATTGGAAATTAAATTTACAACAGTTGAGATAGAATGAATTAGATTTAAGCATCAAATTTATATTAATTTATTTTGACAAGCAGCTCATTCAATATAAATCAAGAAATAAATCATCTAGAAATGAGCTGACTTCAATTTAGGCTGAATAATAAATCAGTTAACTTAATTATCGTTTTTAGTCCATTATTAATGTCACCCTTTTTCCCTTATTAAATGACCCCTTCATTGTTTGCTTTTGCAATGCTATTAAATAGTAAAGGCAAAGAATTAATTAAACTAACTGAATAATTACTTTGCTCCTTAATATTACAGTGAAATGAAGCAATATGAAGTAGATAAATAAAACAATTAATTAGACTAATTCACTTATTATTTAATTTATCGCAAATTAAATCACTAAATTATTCGATTGTTTAGTTGTTTAGAAAAACAAAAATGATCACTTAAGAGTTCTAACTGAGGAGTTTCATAAAATAGTGATAATGTTTATTAAACTAGATATAATGATAGCAGAATGTAAAATCTAATATCTCAGTTCAGCATACAATAATCTAAATAAATTACATTTAACAAATCAAGAAATTATTTGATCAGATTAGAAAGTACCACACTAAATTATTACGAACTGTATATTTAAAAGAAAAAGGATGAGATTTCAATTTTTACTCTAACAACACGCGGAGAACTGAAGTATTCACGGGTAGAGCGTTGATCTGAATGTGAATGATCATCCATCAATGATAGCAATTTCTTCACATATAATTTAACCTGAAATTATAATTGTTAATTTTTTTCTCCGAAAAAAAAGGAAAGATCTAACCAAAATTTCTAATCCTATTCCAACATTGAAACTGTGGATTTTATTTAAATTAAAAAGGAAAAATCTTCTCGTCTTATCTAAATATTCAAACAGTCTCATATAACATCATCTTATAAATTTAACAAATGTTTTCATTTGTAAATTTTCCTAATCTCTCTCTCTCTCTCTACATTGGATAGTTTATTTTCGTTCGCTGTAACATCACTCTGTAAATTTTTTCAATAATTGATGAAATATTATTCAGATAATTCTACCAATCTTTGTAATCTCGCAATAAATGATATTATTTCTGACTCTCCTCTACAATCGTTGTCAAAAAATGACATACTTCCTCATCAATTGTTAATTACCTCCCAACTCATTTAATGCAAATTAATTATAAAATCGGCCGGACCGTTAATTCCGACTAGTCCCCGAAAATAATGACCGGAACCAATCCTAATATTTTTCATATGGTTTGGGTCAGAGCAAAAGATGAGGTGTTGGAGATTACAGTTTATTCCCGGTTTCGCTAATTTATATAATTTGAAATGCAGCAGGATCAAGCTGACGAACTGGAAACGAATATGATGGAAGTAGATCCGATACGACATCGATTTCCGTGTTGTGTCGTTTGGACGCCCATACCGATACTTACGTGAGTTTCATATTACGTTCAATCGATACTATCTCTATGTTAAAGTTATACACTTTTCACACCAGTCATATGCATTTGCATCGTTTTTATGCAGTACGTGATTTCACTAGGCTTAGATCTCGGTAAGTATTGAATTTTCTGCATTTCATTCCTTTGATTTGTATTAGTTGTATGTAAAAAACTGTCAGTAACATTTATTTGGTTTAGTATTACTGGTCAATTTCTTATCTGCGCAGATTTTCTGGCTACACTGTTTCATTGTTTCTCGAGTGTATTAATTCAGGGTGTAGCCGAAAGATAAAATTAATGGTTTTTTATTGAAAGTCAGAAAACGTGAACCATTGCTTCTGATGCTTTAAAATACAAACTGTTGCATAAGAAGTTTTAGACTTGAGGATTTTTTGAAAGGTTCCGAAAAATTACCCCTGGACATGTAAAGTTACGGATACAGTAGTCTGCATACATGATACTTTCAATCGAGTTAGTTACAAGTACAAATTTAAGAGTTCCTCTACCAGAATTATGCCTTTTTGCTTTTGGCGGACTGGATGGCTTTTGTTTCGAATCAGCAATTGATGCTTTTTCTTTTGATTTAGCATCATATGTCTTTTTTTTAGAAGAATTCATACATGAAAAAAAGATTATAATTTCTTTGTACACATGAAATTTTGCGATGAGTATGCTTCAACAATGCAAATCGAAGTTTTTAAATTTGATTTTTTTACGTTATTGCTATCTATATTGCAGGTGGTTATTCCCATTTGTGGGTCATATGGGCATAGCGACAAGCCGAGGTATTATCCGCGATTTCTCGGGAAGCTATTGTGTTTCTGTAAGTATCTTCCGTGTTTGTATCATAACAATTAAATATCATTCCGATAATTTCTTTCGATGTTTTCCTTGATAGTGAGGACGAAAAAATCAGACAAATTATCCCACAATTTTTATTTTCAGCTTTATTTTACTTCAGTACAAGTCTTCTAATCTTAGTTTAGGAAATCAATAACTGAAGAATTTCTAAAAAATCGACGTTCTTAAATTATTGTTGATTTATCGAGGCAGATCATTTCATAAGCTTATCCTCTTGGAGATAATATGGCGTTTTTCAGGAAGATGATATGGCTTTCGGTTGGCCCACATGGTATCGGCAAGTAGATCCAAACACGATTGATGGTGGAGTAGAAGCCTGGGATCGCGCTGTGTTGGATGCGTCGGAGGAATATAAAGATCACGTGGTATGTTTTTCTACTTGAGTCCTATTTTCTCAATTTTTGCTGCTCATGAGTTCTTATTGGCAGGTTATGTCAAGGTTTTTTATTATATGAAGCTGCAGGAAACATAAAGGAATTTGATTTGATGTCAGGCAAACTTTCTTCAATCTTCCTTATTCATGCAGGCCGAGACTAGTAGACGCTTTATGCAGACCGGAACTAATAGAATAGTGAATCTTTTTATCATAGCTTCGAGTACTTCTACTATTCGTATCAAGTATTTTTCTTGTCTGTTTATGTGAGGTTTTTTTTTTGACCTCTTACAGCATACTTTATTCTGTGACAATTGTTACTGTCATGTTGCGTTGGCGCTGAATAAAATGAAATATGGTCACAGACGAGATTATAATTGTTTTCGACTGGTTAATATGCTATTGTTCAAAGGTCAATATGTTGGGTAAGTTTTTCATCGGGAAGAATTTAATTAATCCTATAGGATTGAGCCGAAGGTTCAATACATTTTTCCCGCCACAGATGATATGAGTGATTATATGCCGGATAGGTTCCCTATTAAACTTCTGAAAGATTTGTTCTGTTAGCCACCAGGCCATTATGCTTGATCTGTCTATAGTAAAAGTATTTGAATCACTTTACTTTTATCAAATTGAGGCACTTTTGACGTCTGGCTGTGGTTTTTCCGCTGTTACTTTACTGACCACTATAAACATGCTATTCATGATAGAAGCACACACTAAAGCGTATTCTGCTGTATCGATTTTCATTCACCAGTAATTTTGCATTCCATATAATCAAGATAACTGAAGAAAATTTCAATTTTTTAGTTGTCTTATGTTGAATTAGCTCATCCTTTATTGTAAACTTATTGAGAAAAGAAAATTTCCTGATGTCTGGAATGTGTGGTTTTTCCGCTGTTACTTTACTGACCACTGTAAACATGCTATTCATGATAGAAGCATACACTAAAGCGTATTAAAATGTGAATTAAAGCTTTAAAGTCTTAAAATATCCGATCAGTAACCATCAAATGTTAGTTCACATGACTAAATTTATCAAGTTTTGGAAGTTTTGAAATTTTTTTATGGAAGAAAACTTTTCAGGATTGGCGGTTTCATGAAACAATGGCTTCCGTTCACAGTGATTATTTTGTTCATTCTTATTATTACCATTATTACGAAAGGTTAACATTGTTATAATTCAACCAGTGATTTTGTGGAATATAATCTTATATGATATGGCTATTCTTATTTACTCTATGAAGCGTGGAAAAATGCTGTATTTATAGCAGGCAGGTTGCGAAGTTCAAGTGGCTGATGAAATAAGCTAATGATCTATTTAAAAGATATCTGCTAATGATTTGTTTAAAAGAAAAGATATCGCCAATCATTATTTTAAATTCATTTAATGATATTGTTGTTTGTACTTCTCGTGTTGAATGTATAATTTGTACAGTTTTTTTCTTTTTTTAAAGATAAATTGACTCAATCTTTTCGAGATTAAAATTTTCTGATTTTCTATTCTCAAAGGCTGTTGAATTATTTAATATGCTGTTGTCTTCTAATGCTTATCTAAATATATATAGAAAATGTAGTGGTTCATGACCCTTATCAATACGGCATTAATTTTGTTAGAAACAACGAAAGAAGCTAATGATAGTTATAATTTGATTACGTCTTTTTTTCACATATATTCGATATTTCCTTATTTTGTCCATCCATAATTTCATTGTTTTCATAACTGACTGTTAGTTATATCGATCGAGTATCGTTAAATGAGATAGGATTGTAGAGACCTCACAAAACTTCCAGTGTTTTTTTCCTAATATGTGCGTATTCTACTATATGTATATTTTTTTTAAAAAGTATATTGCTTAATCAGCAGTATCAATTGATTATTGTTTAATAAAAGAATTAAGATACTAGGGCTGCATATGAAATTTTGGAGTGGGACAATCAGTATTATCCATTACAATATAGGTTTGTAGCACGAAATGCTATGTGATTATGAAGAATTTATGCATTTATTTTGAATCATTTCACTTCATTGAATTTTCCAAACATCGAAAAATTGGAATACTTTTTGTTTGTCGCGGAGTACATATAGAAGACGTTGGAGGAGAAAAGGATGACTGTATAGAGAATGTGATATCAATTTGTTAAACAATTTATGCTATGATATTTGATCATATTTTCTTTTTTCATCGATAAAATTTTCTATTTCAAGAATTCTGTTTAAGAAAGGATTTTTTTTCTGGATGTTTCATGAAACATCTAATAGCATACTTTTAAATATTTCCTATTTGGTTTAACTTTCAGTTTTTTGTTCTAATTTTAACTGGGAAGAAGAATATGCAGTTGATTTATGATAGCAAAGCGTGATCATTATTGAAGGTAAGGAAATGGAGGGATAAGAGGTTGTAATATATTGCTAGCTTTATCGGTATTCGATTAACATTTCATATATTAAGTGGTATTTGTGAAAGTGCAAAAATCACTAAACTAATGATGCATAAATCCTAGGAATTGTAGCATTGTGCTACTAACGAAGCCATAAAAGCCAGTAATTCTAGATATCGGGACAGTTAGTTCCGAGACTTGTGACGGTAATCTAAAGTTGATGAATGTGGTATAACAATGTGAGGCATACCTTTAATCATATTGAAGCTAAGTATACGTTCTGAAAGTTTTCGGAAAAGTTAATGTCTTTCTTTAGGCTTCCAGAATTGCTGACTTCTGTGTTGTTCTGAATTTTGTTTCAGTGGATATATGTTATAGCATTTCGTGCATTATTATTCGAGTTTTTTCGACTATTGGTGAATAATTTACTAACTTTTCTGCAGCTTTATTGCTGGAATGGTCCGCCTAACGGTTGAGTTAATTAACGACTCGCTTCAATATCTTAATACGGTTCGCGATCGAGAATTAAGCTTACGAGCTTGCAAAATTCCTGTGCTGGAGAATCTCGGCGTTACGAAGGTTAATCCTTTTTGAGAAGGGTTATTTTAAGAATTTTGTTTCTTCAGTTTTCAGCTTTTTAGCTTATTTGTCAGTTTTCGCAGAATTTTTCCAATGTTTTTTGACGGTCAACAGGGTTGATCTTTTAAGCGCTTTCTTATCTCAAAAATTTATTAAAGCTATTTCTTGAACTGTCATAAACAGAATGTAGAGAGAAGGAGTCACGGAAAAACCAAAGATTTTTTTTTTCAGTATAAGGATTTAAGGTCGAATTTTTCATTTTGGCGAGTAATTTACAATTTTTTCTTGACTAGATGTTTTGCTATAAAAGAGCACAAGTCTTTTAATAATATCCACTTTCAGTGTTTCAAATTTGCAAAGATTAGATTTTTTTCACTTTTTTCAGCTTTTATTAGAATTTTTCAGGATCAGTTCGATACGATTGATTTAACAGATAATGATATAAGAAAACTGGAGAATATCCCTCTATTGAGACGACTTAGCACCCTTTTGATGCACAATAATCGCGTGCAGTAAGCCATTTTGGACTAGATTTATTCAAATATACCGAGTTGAATTTGAATTTAAATATTGAATTTTCCGATTTATTGGCTTATTTGAGCTAAATTGATTATATTTTGTGATCTTTGCTGTATTCATCTTACAGGCAGATAATGCCGAACATTGGCGAAGTGTTGCCATCACTGAAGACTCTGGCGTTGACGAATAATAATTTATGTGAATTGGGTGATATTGATCCTCTAGCAAGCTGCCCAAAATTGGAGTATCTGACGTGAGTTTCTGATTTACGTACTTTACTTTTGACTTAAATTTTGAATACCGTTAGAAAATGCAATCCATTCGAAAATGCATATCGATTTGTTTCCAGACTGATTGGAAACCCACTAACTCACAAACCACAATATCGTCTTTACGTAATATACAAGGTACCATCAGTGCGTGTTCTCGATTTTAAACGAGTTCGTCTCGCGGTAAGTTTGTCATTATTCATTTTGACGAATAATAATATATGAGACGTATGTGATTTGGTTATAACGAGGATATTTTTTCAGGAAAGGAAACAAGCAGATGGTTTGTTCAAGGGTAAAAAAGGTCAGAAATTCAGGGAGGAAGTTGTAAAGAAATCGAAGACTATGCCTGATGACGAAGAAGACGGACAACCAAGAAATTTGCGTATAGAAGATGCTAAGGAAATTGAGGCAAAGTCTTTTAGCAATTTCTTAGATGTTTCATCTCTTAACGGTAAATTTAGGATTTTAAGAATTTTAAATTTCAGTATGTTGGTATGCTAAATGAAATGTTTTGAACTAAAGATTCACTGCAAATGTGAGTAATACAATGTTGGTAGGGTAGAAAAAATGGATTTGTCTTTAAGTTTGTGCTTAAATTTCAGTATTTGTAGAACTGACAAATGTAAGACAGATAGGAGAAGATATTGAATTTTTGGAATATCAGATCATTATCCAAGAGTTTGTTTTTAAATTTCAAGTTTCTCTGGGTGATCCAGGAAGTAGTATCAGGGGACATACCTGTAAAGATTGAAAATGGAAAATGTTTGCTGCAGTAACGAGGATAAAATCCGACATATTCAGTAAAAGGAATTTAACTTTATGCCTTTAAGGAGGCAATTGCATCTGCTTCAAGTCTTGCTGAAGTGGAGCGATTACAAGCAATTTTACAAAGCGGGCGAGTTCCGAAAAGTGGTTGGAATCGTGGAAGTATTGGTTATGTAACAGAAGATACTGAAAAAAGGTAAGTTCGTAAATAAACCAAACTTTCAATTTTGAAACATCTTCATGAATTCCTTCTGCTGGGCATTATTAAATTTTCAAATTTTTGAAATCGTAACATTCGCAGGACCAAAGAAAGTAATGGATTTGTTGCGGAACACGAGGATGAAGATGATGATGTCCCTTCACCGGCAGCAAGCCCTGATGGTGCTGATGTTAATGATGATGTACAATCTCCAGTAGCAAGTCCACCTCAGGAAGTAAAATTAATCTTAATTTAATTGTGCATGTTGGGAGTATTTTAGAAAACTAAATTTCTATAATGGTTCGTTTCTATTTCTTTTTTAGGACTTTTCAAAATGTAAGTAATTTAACTTTTTCAAAATGTAAGTGATTTATACGTTTATTTTTTTTTTTATTAACGATTAGCTCATTATAATTCGATTAGGTTATAATGAGCTAATGAGTTAAGCTTAGCTGAACAGTACACGAAAGTAACTTGACTGCTGCATAATAAAAGTCTTTCCTTTTGTAGTCTTTTCTTGTTTTTTGCAGGAGGAACTAGATAATGGGGAAATGGAATATATGATGGAGAAATGAGAAATGATTTTTTCATCCTTTCCGGTAAGCGATTGAATGCAAAGAAAAAATCGAAAACTCAGCATTTTCTGACATCAGTGAATTTAAGCTTGATACGTTGTCCTCGTCATTTTTTATTTTTTATCCTTATGATATAATATTCGTGCGTAAAATTATCATACGTGGGCAGCGAGAGTTCAGATACTTCACCCTTTGATCTTACATGTATCATTTTGGTTGTTTGGCGATATTTTGTTTTTATCCTTCCGAAATAAAAATGTTTCGGCGGAATTTCCCATCATCCTATATTGTTATTATTAAAGTACGCACATCATACAGCAGTGTAAATGCCTTGGTTTATATAATTGTAAATGCAAACACGCAAAGCTCTCTCCTCAAAATAATTTTCTTGAAAATCAATATCTAAGCCACAAATTTATGAGGAATTATTATGGAATGACTGTAAAATTTGAAAAAGGGACAAGAAATGAAAGGTATTAGGGGTTGGTATATCATAGATAGTGTGTACTGTCCCTAGTACCTTTTGCATTTTTTCTAAAACGGAGTACGTCATTATAACTACTAAAGAATTCTAACATATGGGCATAATGGTCGGGATTTACATAAGATATGAACCATCCTTCACTTGAAAAGCGATCACAGAATACTTTGGTACTAGCAGTAATTGTTTTTCGTCCATAGAAAAAAATTGGTTAAGCTTTATATGTTATGGTATGGAATCATATATTTGGTCGGTGAGCATCAATTTTGTTCTCATTAGCAGTGAAGTTGGATTTTGAGGAAAATAGTGGGAATGGAATTCGAAGAGAATGAGGAAATGTATTGGAAGAAAATTTTCCAAAATGATATTTAAGTTTTAATTTTAGTTCCAAATAATGATTGATTGGTAGTAATGGCTGAGTGGCATTGTCTTGGTCGTTTCCCATCGAGTGATTTGATGGTTCGATTCCTATTGTAACAGTTCCAAATTGTGGCTCGTCAATGATGACATTCAAAAATTATAAAGCTCAACAGGTATGAGTATACCATACATGATATGCATCCAAATATCTGAGACGTTTATCTCGAATAAGTATAGCAGGGAGATCGAACACTTTCCCGGTAAAAATGAATGGCGGGGTTCATCAATTAATCAGATACGAATGTGAATGTTCTGTACAGGATTAAAGAATATTGCAAGATTCGAGTTGCTGGATGACTGGAGATTTCAAATGTTTTGAAATTTTCAAACCATTTCGAGATGTAAAATGAAAGGAAGAGAAAAGGATGAAACAAATGTTCTTGATTTTGTGCTTTTCCTGCGTACGTAAAATGCATTAGATATGTAAATTTGTGACTTATTTTACGTATTGCGTGGCATATTTTACAAATATATATTTCGAATTATTCATTTCAATAAAAAAAATTTTTTTATAATATTCTTTGCCTAGAATATAAAGGTCATCAGATTTTGGAGGTTTTTATTTTTGGTTTTTTTTTGATGAAACCTCCAAGGTTGTAAACTATAATGATGATATTTCGGATATTACAGAAAATTATCTTTTGAATTTGATAATTACCTCAGTTCCTTCTTTTTTTTTTTGTATTTTACAAATATATTTCGA